TATTTCCTTCCTGTCCTATGTGTGCATTGGTGCATGTACGTGTATGTATGTGAATGTGTGCGTGTATGTGTGTATGTGAATGTGTGTGTGTGTATGTGAATGTGTGTGTGTGTGTGTATGTGAATGTGTGTGTGTGTGGGGTGGGGGGGTGTTTTTAGAAGAAACATTTATTGACCTCGTGTCATGTGATCAGCCCTGTGGGGGAAAGAGAGGAATGAGACCCTAGACCTGGTCTCTAGGTCCAGTGGTCTAGACGTAGCGAGGAGTTACAGCCTTTCCTTCAACTTTCCAGGGACTCCTGGCCCTTGTTTCTCCCACGGAGCAGTGAGGACGGCGCGGGAGCCCCGAAGAGGGGCGGAGAGTGCACGGTGAGGACATTTCCCGAGTGTGAGGTCCTGTGTGATGTCCTCGCAATCACCTCATGATATAGATCCCATTCTACAGATGAGGGGACTGAGGCTCCAGGAAGTGAAGCCGCTGACCGGAGATCACACAGCTCTTAGGCGGCAGGGCCACCGTGCTGTTCTCCCTATTGTGCAGCCCTCACCTGCTACAGCCCTTCTAGGAGTGGGTCAACCCTTGTCCACAGGGAAGTGGGGTGAGCTCATGACTACAGGGCTGTGGGAGGGCTGATGTAGCGTGGGGGGCTCGGAACACAGCCTCTAGAGTCGGGCAGATCTGGGTTTGAACCTCAGCTCTGCTATTTCTGTGAATGAGAAATGTTGCCTACGTATCAGCAAACAAAGGATGCTGCGGCCATCAAGCCATCAGTCACTACCGCTGGGATGGAGACAAACGGGCTGCCCCACCCACTGCCAAGCCCTCAGCCCCTGCAGCCACCCGCAGTGGTGCCCCCTGAGGGATGGGAAAGCACAGGATACTGGCCCCAGAGAGCTGAGGTGCATACCAAAGGAATGATTTCAGTGAGCCCAGACTTTTGCATCTTCCCATCCACAGAAAAGCGCTAAATCCATTAACTTGAGATGTCTGGTTCTCTTTAATTAACAGTAATATTTGATGTTCCAACGACCTTGTCTTTGTTGCAAAAACTCCTATGCATCCTGGGTCCTCCCTTACCTCTTCAGAGCAGTCCCTCTGAGTGATCTGAGAGGTTGCCTCCCGGGCTTGAGGCCTCAGAAAGTCCGCCCAATAAAACATAACTCTCTGCATTTTTTTCAGTCAACACTTCCAAGCTATGTGTCCTTGGGCATGTGGTTTCACCTCGCTGAGCCTCAGTGAGGGTTAAGTGAGGCTGGTGCACTGAAGCTAGCCCATAACCGGCTCAGCACAAAGCAAAGTGTTACTGATCGTCATTACTCTGATTGCTTCTGGGAAGCCTATGATTTAGGGAGAGAGACGATTAGGTGACCCTCCTCCTGGGGCTGGGGCTCTGTTTTGTCTCTCTTGGGCACAGGCTGCTGGTACCATTGTCCCAAGCACTTTGGGAAAACAAAGCTGGTCCTGGCTTTGGGCTTCTGTTGACCCCGACGCTTACCTGAAATCCTCTCTCTTCTCTGCCTACCTGAGCTAACCTGTCTAGTGACTGACAGTAAATGATTGTTAAAGACTGAATAAATGATGGGAACATGAGAGGCCTGGCAGATAGAAAGAATCAGCTGGGGAATGTTGAGGAATTTACTTCTGTGGGCCCACCTCATCGGGTTACTGAGGATTAAGCAGACGCTCTAGGTCAGGCGCCAGGCACAGCGCCGCTCCCTCTCGCCTGTCCTTCCTTCTCTGGGGACTTGCCTGGCCGAAATGCACACTTTTCCATGTGTGGTCACTTGGTTGAGTCGGGTAAGGGAAAGGTACTCTGTTCCGATGCCTCTCCCCACTCCCTGATGCTCAGGGGAGAGAATTCGGACGCCTGCACCTGGCAGCCAGCCTCTTCACCTTCCCCATCCCGCCCTGCTTCCTTTTGGCTCTGTCCCTAACCACGCTCGCCCAGAGACCTTGTGGCCTGGCCCCTCTGTTCCCCTAAAGCACTCTGCCTCCCTTTCTTGCTCTTTCTGTAGCTTGCAGAGTTCTGAAATGGTTAAACAGCAAAAACAAAGTAGGATTCGGCAGTCACACGTGATGGGGTATTTGATCAGAATTCACAAAAAGTGTCAGAGTTGATCAGCTTCGCTCAGCAGAGCAAATCTGATCAAATTCAGCCTGGAAATGATGCTGGCCAACAGCCGTAATGGACTAGAGCCACTGATTTCCTCCACTGACACTGCAGAGCTGATGGGAGTGACAACGCCAATGGCCTGAGTTAGCTGGTCACTCATCCACCCTCAGAGCAACGCTATGAGAGAGGATGGTACCACTGGCTCCATTTTACAGATGGCACAACTGAGGCTCAGGTAAATGACTCAGTAGAAAACTGACTTGGAGGAAACTGGCTTGAAACAAAAGATGCAGCTCCTCTCTTTGGCATTCTGGAAGTGTGTGAAAATGGTGGGTTTGCCCTGTTGGGAACTGGGGTGCTAAATTTGATTTTAACTTTAAAGCCGAAGCATCATGGAAGAATTACTTTCCCTCAGGACCAACTCGGAGCAGAATTAGAGCATAAGGAGACTGCAGAAGAGAGAAGAAGCGATCTTCTTATCTGATAATGAAAAAGTATTTTCAGCTCTGACAATGTCTACAGACCGTGTAACTAGGCATTTGTACCGAAAATGGAAAGCGTCATCAGTAGATAAGTGATCTGACCATTTTTGCACTAAATTCTGTAGAGAACCAGAACTGTCTGAACATAAGTGTGATGAAATGAGGAGACATCAATGGGAAATGATGGGGATGATGGTACGGTTCTATTTTGCTGGGTGCCAGTCACTGTAATCAGCATGTTAAATACAGTTATGCTTCCCTCAAACTGGGAGGTATAGGCATTTTTATCTCCAGGTTTCAGATGAGGAAACTCAGGGAGGGGAAGTGACCTGCCTGAGAGCACACAGCTAGTAAGTGATAGAGCTAGGACTCAAACCCTGATTTGTGTGAATTTAAAGCCCACTCTCCTTCGATCATATTAGCCCCAGCCCTGGGCTAGGTCCCAGGGATTCAAAGATGAATTGGGATACAGTCCTGCCCTCACAGAGCTGCACGTCTTGCAGGAAAAAGAAGCTAGCTCAGTTACAGTTCTTTGAATCTCGAATCAGGCACAGATAAAAAAGCACATCTCCACTGCTCTCCAGGGAAGGCAGTGAAGGCACAGGTTGTGGGTAGAAATCCCTTCGCCTAGTTCTGATTTATTTCATCAGCACCTTCCTGGGATCTGAGATGGGGGCCAGCAGTTGGCTGTGCTCTGATGCTGATACAGGCAGCACCGAGTCCTGGCTCCCACCCCTGTGCTGTCCCCAGCCCACCCTGAGGTTTAGCTCAGGAAGAATAATGAGCAAGTCCCCTTCTCCAACTGCTGTCCAGCGGGAGAAAGCAAAACGCCCTCCCAGGAGCCGGCGTCGTGAACACAGCGAATGTAGCCTTCCTGGGGCTCCTGACCCGCAGCTGTCATCTGTGGGGTGGAGGGCCCCCCCCCAACTCTGCCTGGTGACACAGACACTGCTCTCCATCATTCATTTCCTCTCACCGGGCCAGGAGCTGGTCCAGCCCAGGGTTGATCAGCCAGTACAAACACCCTGGGATTCACTCCGACCATCTGCAAATTCTGGTTTAACCTTCCTCTGTACAACCAGCTGCCATTTATTCATGGCATTTATTCCACATACAACACCTACAGGAGGCTTTCTCTTCATAACCTGCTTATCAAAAAAGCAGGGCTTGCGGGTGTACAATCCAGTTCTTGTGCAATCCCAGCACCGGTCTCCCTGTCTCCGAATGAAGGTTGGACAGGCCCTAGAGCTCATCTGCTTATTTGCAGGTAATAAAAACATGATGCCTGTGATCCCCCAAACCATTTCAATTCAGTGATTAATACGGCCAGTCCAGGGCAAGGGTCAAACCTCCAGTCTTCACTAGCTCAGTGGAAGGTAGTGTCTTAGCTGCAGGCAGAAGCAGCCATGGGAAAAGGACACAGTCAGCTTTTCGAGTTTCCCCTAAGCGAGTCCTAATTCTGCCCTACGACTCCTTCCCCAGCCAGCCGCCCTGCCCCTCCAAGGTTGGAGGGTAATGATGGGGAGAAAAAGGTCTCGCTTGACTAGGGCTGCTGTGAGCTGGGCTCTGCTGGCTGCCTCGCCCTCCTGGGCTGTTTGTGTGAACTTTGGGCCTCTGTCTCCACTGGCCTCCGAACATGACAAAACCTTTGTAGGAAGAATAAAGACCTCCTCTGCCTTCAGATGCAGCCTCATGGGTGCTCAGCTTGGCACATGGATGCTGTCTTTTTTTGGCTGATTTTTTAATTTAATTTTTTTAACACCTTTATTGGAGTATAATTGCTTTACAATGGTATGTTAGTTTCTGCTTTATAACAAAGTGAATCAACTATACGTATACATATATCCCCATATCCTCTCCCTCTTGCGTCTCCCTCCCACCCTCCCTATCCCACCGTCTAGGTGGTCACAAAGCACCAAGCTGATCTCCCTGTGCGATGCAGCTGCTTCCCACTAGCTATCTATTCTACATTTGGTAGTGTATATATGTCCATGCCATTCTCTCATTTCGTCCCAGCTTACCCTGCCCCCTCCCCGTGTCCTCAAGTCCATTCTCTACGTCTGCGTCTTTATTCCTGCACTGCCGCTAGGTTCTTCAGAACCATTTTTGGATGCTGTCTTTTGCAAGTTAGAAAAAGCCTTCTTCCACGTTTTGGCAAGCCCGTATCAGTGTGCACACCCTGAGAGCGGACTGTGGCTGGAATTCTTCAAAATGCACCCTCTCGAGCCTTTGTTCAGTGCATTGAGTGTGCACCTGTCTGCGGTGACCCTGGGCGCACATCTCTCACCTGTGTTCCTCTGGCACCAGAGGTGATGTTCCCTTCGGCCTTGGTCCTCCTCCACAGACTGGGTCTCATCATTCCTCCAAGAGGCCTTCTTAGGCCAAGTGTCTTCTCTCATATATCTCTAGGTCAGCGCTCTCTCTCTCTCTCTCCCTCTCTCTCTCTCTCTCTCTCTCCCTCTCTCTCTCTCCCGCTCTCTCTCTCTCCCTCTCTCTCTCTCCCGCTCTCTCTCTCTCCCTCTCTCTCTCTCCCGCTCTCTCTCTCTCCCTCTCTCTCTCTCCCGCTCTCTCTCTCTCCCTCTCTCTCTCTCCCGCTCTCTCTCTCTCCCTCTCTCTCTCTCCCGCTCTCTCTCTCTCCCTCTCTCTCTCTCCCGCTCTCTCTCTCTCCCTCTCTCTCTCTCCCGCTCTCTCTCTCTCCCTCTCTCTCTCTCCCGCTCTCTCTCTCTCCCTCTCTCTCTCTCCCGCTCTCTCTCTCTCCCTCTCTCTCTCTCCCGCTCTCTCTCTCTCCCTCTCTCTCTCTCCCGCTCTCTCTCTCTCCCTCTCTCTCTCTCCCGCTCTCTCTCTCTCCCTCTCTCTCTCTCCCGCTCTCTCTCTCTCCCTCTCTCTCTCTCCCGCTCTCTCTCTCTCCCTCTCTCTCTCTCCCGCTCTCTCTCTCTCCCTCTCTCTCTCTCCCGCTCTCTCTCTCTCCCTCTCTCTCTCTCCCGCTCTCTCTCTCTCCCTCTCTCTCTCTCCCGCTCTCTCTCTCTCCCTCTCTCTCTCTCCCGCTCTCTCTCTCTCCCTCTCTCTCTCTCCCGCTCTCTCTCTCTCCCTCTCTCTCTCTCCCGCTCTCTCTCTCTCCCTCTCTCTCTCTCCCGCTCTCTCTCTCTCCCTCTCTCTCTCTCCCGCTCTCTCTCTCTCCCTCTCTCTCTCTCCCGCTCTCTCTCTCTCCCTCTCTCTCTCTCCCGCTCTCTCTCTCTCCCTCTCTCTCTCTCCCGCTCTCTCTCTCTCCCTCTCTCTCTCTCCCGCTCTCTCTCTCTCCCTCTCTCTCTCTCCCGCTCTCTCTCTCTCCCTCTCTCTCTCTCCCGCTCTCTCTCTCTCCCTCTCTCTCTCTCCCGCTCTCTCTCTCTCCCTCTCTCTCTCTCCCGCTCTCTCTCTCTCCCTCTCTCTCTCTCCCGCTCTCTCTCTCTCCCTCTCTCTCTCTCCCGCTCTCTCTCTCTCCCTCTCTCTCTCTCCCGCTCTCTCTCTCTCCCTCTCTCTCTCTCCCGCTCTCTCTCTCTCCCTCTCTCTCTCTCCCGCTCTCTCTCTCTCCCTCTCTCTCTCTCCCGCTCTCTCTCTCTCCCTCTCTCTCTCTCCCGCTCTCTCTCTCTCCCTCTCTCTCTCTCTCTCTCTCTCTCTCTTCCCTTCGCCTTCTCCCCCACCAAGGAAAACACTGGATTTTGGCGGGAGTGCAGCTACTCGCCAGACTGCAGCCCTCTTCAGCCAGCTTTCCACCCCTTACACTTCTCAGGCACACGTCAGACTCCAGGCCACAGGAATCCAGTCTCCAGGGGACACAGACGGTGCTCTCAAGTGTCCTCCTCAAAGCTCCTCCCACGAGGCTTCAGGTCAGGGGAACACACCCCTCTCACCCCCATGGGGGTGGGGAGAACAAAACGGCACAGCACTCCATCAACTCTCTCTGAAGAAATCCTCCCCCCAATTCCCTACTCCCTTCACACTTCACCGTGAACCCTCTTGTGCCCTTGAATCAGATGAGAGGCTAAGGGTCCCGAAGCAGGTTTTGACCATCTCCTTTGCCAGTCCTGCTGGGGGGTCTTATCCCTCTCTTTGGAACATGGGAAGACTTGGAACTTACTGTTTCACTCTTGGCTTGCTTAGGGGACCCAGTCCAAATTCAGACAACACGTCAGCCAGCAGTAGAAACTGTCAAGCGCCCCATCAGAACTTACTGCAACAGAGCGGAAAGACCAACTTCCATCCGCCACTGTCGGCATCCAGGTGCCCGGGGGCTCTCTCTGAAGATGAGGCAGACCAGAAGTGCCAGGGAATGAAAAGCCCCTAGGAGCAGCCCTCAGCCAACGACCAATGAGAGTGTATGTATGAAATTCCCAGATCCCTCACTCCCTAGTTGGGTTAACTCTGAGGCATGTGTTCTGCGTGGTTCCAGAGTTCCCCACCTGATGCCCACAGTGGTCACTGCCTTGATAACAAAACCTTCAATGGCTTTCCTGACGTCATTATCCCACTCCCCTCATCATCTCCTAAATAATCGCATCTCCATCATCACTCAAATCTTTCTCTCAACGTCCCTTTCTGGTGGAACCCAAACCATGACACATGTAATATGTCTAGTCCTTAGAACAACCCTGATCTTCCCCAAATCTTGCAAGATAGATGTCTTCCTGTCTCCACTGAGAAAGCAGAGAGCCTAGGGGTGAAGTTGCTTAACCCATCAGTCATGGTAAGACTGGGATTCAATCTCAGGTTCGTATTTTTCCAAAGATCTGCTCTTTCTCCCACACCACCCTGCTTCCCACCAGCTGTCAGCCATTCCCTCCAGCAAGTAAAACAAAATCCTTTCAGCGGCCACTCCTAGTCTCAGCGTATGTTCAATCTAGCACTCTCCCAATGTTCTCAACCTTAGTTCGAAATCATCTGCCCAATGCCATTCTTCACCCCCACCTCATCCTGTTCTTAATCCTCCCAACTTCTAGTCTGAACTTGTCCTCTGGACTCAGCGCTGGGTGCTGTCTTCCTGGACCTTGACTTTGGCCCACCATCGAGCCCCATTGCTTAGAACTGTCTTGAGAAACACTCTCCCCAGTTGGGCTGAGCCCCAGGATTCCTCGTTGTGGTGCGCTATCCATCACGGATGCTGTTCTGGTTGGTTCATAATATGACTGTCCCTGTAAGGCCTCTTTCCTCTATGCCCTAAAAGTCCATATCCTTAGCTAGAGTAAAATGAACTGATACTCATCACTCAAAATATGAAAGCACAGCCACACAATCATGCCCGCTAGCTGAGCAAACCTGAGAGCTTATCAGAGGAACTTGGGCACCACTGCTGGGAACTGGCGAAGTGGGAAGATTTTAATTGTTCCCAGGCTTGTGGCATCCACCTAATTTCCTCTAATGAGCACGCACAAAGCAGTGAGGAGAGACGCAGGAA